AGGCTCAAGACTCTCATCCAGTCGGCACCCAGGCTTGTCGCAGTAACTATGGCCTTTAGAGATGGGCGACAAGGGTCAGGGAGCCGGGCTGGTACCACTGGGCTGGCAGGTGAGCACTTCCAATAACGGAGGTGAGCCACAGCAGTGGGGGCTCAGATTACACCAGCCTCTCTAAGTGAGCTCAGGGTGTAGCATGCCTGAGACGTGGCCGGTACAAGCAAGCCATTCAGCGCCCTAGCCACCTGGCCACAGAAGCCTATCCACCATCAGCTCTCGCCCTGCACCCAAAGGTTGAAGGTTCAAGTCTGCCCAGAAGTGCCTTGGAAGAACGGCCTGCCAATCTATTTCCAAGAAAGCGTCTATAAAAAACCCTATGGAGCACGGCTCTACTCTGATGCACATGGGGTCACCATAAGCTGGGGTCAACGCAGGTGACACTGCCTCCCCATTCTTGGGTTCGAGGCTTGGCTCCCAGGAAGCTTTGGGGCAGAGATGGTCCAGCATAGCCTCCTCTGTGCCCTTGAATGTAGTGCTGTGCTTGGCACAGAGGGCAGGTTGGGAAAGACACGGGATCCCGGAGCAGAGGCATTGCCCCACGCCACATCGAGGCTCCCTTCCTCGTAGCTGAGACCCCCAGGTCAGTGTTCATGGCTGCTGTCCCTGTCCTCAGCTTCCCCCTAGGTCCTGCTCGCCCCTGTCTTCTGCAGCTCTCCTCCTCCTGCCTCGGTCAAGCCATCAGTGTCCCGTCTGCACCCAGCTTCTTGAGAGCAAGGGCTACGCCCGGCTGGACTCTGAAACAGGAGGAAGTGGAAAAGCAAGACACAGCGGGGATGACTGGGAAGGTTCATGGGAGAAACTTCTAGATTGTGCAAAGTTCTACATCTTCACAAGGGGGTAGATTCCATGGGTGCTGGCCTTTGCCAAAACGTCTCCATCTGTGCAATTTAGATGTTAAGTTTGTGTTTTGATGGAAAATGTTTTAGGACAGCCCCCTTCACAGCCACCGAGTTCATGCTGACCCAGGGCATCTCGGGTGGTGGTGGGGGTAGAGTAGAGGTGCACCTGGGGAGTGGGGGGTGGTGTTTCAAGACCGTGGATCTTCCTGGGAGTAGAAAGCCTTTTTTTTTTCTTCTCCCGTGGAGTGGCTGGTGGTTTTGGACGTTGCAGTTAGCAGCCTGGGTTAATCTTGTTAGACTAGAGAAACAAATTTGTAGACACTCCTAGGTGTCTAAGAAAGAGATTTATAG